TTTTTCCCAGCTATTTATAGCCCGCAGCGAGCATCCCTACGCCCAGAATATTCCTTGAAAGATTCCGATCATTGCTTGCTTACTTCCCGGATCATCCCTTCTTTGTCCAATCAGCTTCCCGCTCAATCTACTGATCCTCAGCATGTCTACATCATGAGAGCATGCTGATCCCATAACCGTCCAGGTTCAAGGCACTCATAGTCCATGTCACCTTTCACAAATCGCCCAGATCCATTACTCACTGCAAGTTAATCCATCACATCGCCAGTATTATCTTTCTCACTTATTACCCGTCACTTGCTACTACCCAGTTCATCATATTTATCCTTTCATGTCAAATCAATCACTCACACCAGGTCACTTCAGTGATGCTCCAGATCATAACAAGAACTGCAAGCTTATTTTGATCTATTAAGGTCACATAAACCACGTCACATCGATTCAGGGCATTCTATGTACGATCCTCCATCCGTCATCTTCACCGTCTGACCTCGATCGCGCTCCGCCCCCGATGCTTTCCTCCCCGCTGTACTCCCCGTCACCGTTGTACATCTCGGCGTCCGCCACGCGTGGGCCCTCACCAATGATGACGAACTCGGCCCCTTCAGGCACTGGCGCGGTCTGCACTCCCCCGAGCAGGCCATCGCCGTCGCGTGCCAGTCCCTGCCCCTCGCCCGCAGCCTGCGCACGCCCATGCGCGTCGATTCCTTGCAACCCGCCCTGGGTGGGATCCTCTTCCTGGTCCAGGAATCCAAAACGAACGAACTGGCGTGGCTCCCATCCGGGGGGGCCCTTGACTCCCTCGCCCTCCCTTGTCATCCATTCCATATCCGTGGTGACCAGGGATTCGGCTGTCTTGCCTTTCGATCGTGCGAAAGTGCACATGGGGCACATGTAGAGGTGGCCCCATCTGTCCGTCCCCAACAGAATTTGTTTGGCTCCGTTAAAATTCTGTACAATCAACAGAATTTATGAGGGAGCCACAGAGAAAAAAGCGTTTTACAGAAACGGGTAGGGCCATACTGACGTCAGCATAGACAACTACAGAAATCCACACAGCCTTACAGAATGAAACCAAGTGTTACAGAATTCGCGCCGCCGTCTACGGATGATAGGCACCCGCAACAGAACCGCTGACCGGACCACAAAGGTCGACAGAATTCCATAAAAAATCGATGGCAATCGCTGCCAGGAAGGGCCCGCACTTATGATTTATAGTATGTTGTGATGATGTGTTCTGTGTGTGTGCTGCCTCCGGCCAAGTACCGGCAGCGATCGCTGCTGGGAAGGGCCCGCACTTATGATTTATAGTACGCCGTGATAATGTGTTCTGTGTGTGTGCTGCCTCCAGCCAAGTACTGGCAGCGATCGCTGCCGGGAAGGGCCGCACTTATGATTTATAGTATGCCGAGATAATGTGTTCTGTGTGTGTGTTGCCTCCAGCCAAGTACCGGCAGCGATCGCTGCTGGGAAGGGCCCGCACTTATGATTTATAGTACGCCGTGATAATGTGTTCTGTGTGTGTGCTGCCTCCAGCCAAGTACTGGCAGCGATTCGATACGCCTCTATTTGCGACAAGCTTCCAGAATCTCAAAGTCCATGACGGATGGCAACGGAATGCTAGGAAAGGCAACGGAAAAAAAAACATCTTTACAGAAATTGGTGGCTGCAAACACCCCCTTGACGGACAGCTCCAGAGCCAAAAAACTGGAAGCTGACGTGGCATGAACGGCAACAGAAAACCGGCCCCGGCAAAACAACAGAAAAGTGATGGACGGATTTTTTGTCTTGAAAAAAAATACGGACAGAAAATAACAGAAAAAAAGTTGAGCGGCCACGTCTAGGCACATGGAGTCCGCCGTGCACCATTCGCACTCTCGGTTTCCGTAGTAATTGGGGTCCCCCGGCTGGCGCACCCAGCCAGGGCCCCATGCGAACGCTTCCTCCAAATGAGCACGGGAACTTGAGGTCCCCCGCCGGAGGCGTTCGTTGAAGCGTTCCCAGTATGTCACCGTCCAACTGGGCGGCAACTGGGATTCAAGTGCTACTCTCCTTGCCTTGTCGGCTTGCTTTTCTTCTCGACGTGTCAAGGCATCCGCCAGCCACATCCCCTCCAGGTAGTCGACAAGGGGGAAGGTACCTCGGAAGCTTATCCACGCCTTGACCTTGGAGGCAGCGAGTACCTCCCATCGCAAATCTTCAGACCGGAGCAGAAACGCCAAAGGCGCACCGCCCTGGCCTTTGGCGGGGTGGATGGCTGGGCCTTCCCCCTTCCATCCAAAAGTCTTAGGTTTTTTGTGCATTGAGTCGCGTTCCGCTATCGTCCAGACTTTGCTATGCTCTGCGGTCCAACATCTCCTGCATCCTTGGAGACGGATCCTCACCCTTTGACGCAACGCAAGACTCCAGCGAAATGTTGGAACAGCACACACACTACAAAGGCGCAAATCCGCAACCGCAGCGGCTGGTCTGTCTGCTCGAGTCTCCAGTGCCACGTCCACTCGTAGGCGGTGTGGACCCACCATTGAGGCAGGCCCTTCCCTGTCGGAGCGGTCCATGGCAGTGGCACACCCACTGACCCCTCCATGGCCTCTCGGAGGCACTGCTGAACTTCGAGAGGAGGGCCATTGATCCTCGGTTCTGGAAGTGGCGGAGCGAGGGCATCCATGGCCAGCATCCCCATGGAGGGTGCACCAACCAAGTTGGCCATGTCCGGAGTCCTTTCTCGCCCTCGCCAAGCAGCTCATGGGCAATTCGTTCCGCTTGCCCTTCGCGCCGCGACACCTTTTCCCGCGCGCTCTTATCCCTTCGGAACGGGTCCCCAGGGAACCCTTTCAAGCGATCGTACGGCTGCCAAGGTTGACGGAGCGCATGACTGCGCATGTGTCTCTTTGCGGCACGTCACAACATACGGCATGCTTGCGCACACTTTCCAGTATGTCTGGACATATGTCCAGGTGTGACTGCGCGCACATGGCTGGCATCAGCTTGGCCAGAAGCATGACTCATGGCGCACTGCATGGCATTGCACTTGGTGACCTTACGGACGATCGTGAGGCCCTGCCCTCTTACTGGCTCTTATGTACAATGACTATTTACAACGTCCATCCATTGAATCAACTCTTTTGTTGCCTGTCTTTTCGTTATCTCGATTTATTGAACTGATTCGGCTCCCTCAGCCACTACTGGCCACAACGGAATCCATTGAATCTCCCATAATCGTCCTGCTCATCTATTGATACGGACGGCCAGCGACCGAGCGCATCTGCCCCGCCCCGCAGGACGATACGGTGTGCATTCTTGCCATTCAATCGACGCTGATACATTGCACCTTTTGTAAACACTTTTTCCTGCCAGAGCCTTGGAGTCTCCTTGTTTTTATAAAAGGATAGTTATTGCCTCGAAAGCTCACGGTTATACAGTAATACAACGTTCTTGATGTGCAACCCCTAACGAAACTCAGGTATTACACAGCCATGGTCCATTCATCCCGATCTAAACAGCCTTCAATTTCATATTCCTCATGCTCAATCAATCTTATACCGATTGACATTTCCCTTTCATCACTTTCTGCTCATGTTCAGCTGTCATATCAATCTCCACTATCCATCCTATCTCATCCTGAAAATTCACATCCTATTGGACTCCCAATTCAGAACATCTCAGACGATCCATAGATGCCCTGTCTCCACCAGAGTCATCATATCCCTCATCCGGCTGGATTCATTAAGCTTGTCCTCGCATTAACTTCATCTTCCAGTCTGTGACCTTAGCACAGCAGCATGCAAGTAAATGCCTGTTAATGCCCCTTCAAATCAGCATTTAAAAACTATTATATTCTAATGCTAATCATTATATTTAACACTCCCCAATAGCACCGGTGCTATTCGGCAAATGCTGCCATAGTAAGGTCGCACGGCAGCCAATGAGAACCGCCGGTGCAATAGCACCGACCGATAAAGATGCTCTTAGCTGACGATCCGGAGGGATCGCACCAGCGTTGCTCCAACCAGGTTCCCCCTTCCGCTGCCTCCATCCGCTGGACGCGGGTATTGGTGTCTGCCAACACCAAGTCAGCGAGTTGGCGGTGCAGCTCCACTGCCTCGGATGGCGGTGACCCCTTTCTCGGGTCATGACTTTGTCGCATCAACATTATAAACCTGCCGGAAATGGCTGACAATGGCCATTCGATCTCCTGGCGGCAGGTCGCGAACCCACCCTTGGAAGCCACCAGCTGGCGATGGCGGCGGCGCCGCCCCGCGGGGCCCAACTCGGGCACCGCGCAGCGCCCACCAGGACGCCGTCACGGACGTGCTCCTCAAGTGCGTGGGAGTCCGAGGGCTGCCTTTCTGACTGCAAGCAAGGCGTGTCGAGCGGCCGGCGCCCCAGCCGTCAGCAAAGACTGTTGCCGGACTCTTTTCTGCACTGTGGGATATGACGCGGAAGCAGCGGATTGCGACAGGAATAGCGCGCAGCTTGACGAAAATCAACGGATGCGGGGCAGAAGAACGATTTTGGATACGCCCCGGCTGTCACCGGCATGGTGCAAGGGGCACTACCCTGTCTTGGCGAATGCAGTTGTAACCGAAGGATTGCAGCAGCGCGGCGTGGGGGCATCCGCAAGATGGATGCCTGGCCGCCGCGGGCCTAGCTGCGCATGACGTTGTTGCTGTCTTGCCCTCAGGCTGCCGCATCCAGGATCGAAGGGGGAAGGGCGGACGACGGCTGTGCCCGCGAGGGTGGGGCGGAACCTGCTTCGTGGCGCGCGCCTCAGCCGCGGTGCTTTTCGGAAAGAGGCAACCAGTGTTCTATGTTGCTGTGAAGGAGGCAGTCAATGCTATATGCTGTTGGGAAGGAGGAAGCCAATATTTTTGATCTGTTGGAAAAGGTGGCAGTGTGTATTGGACGCCACCCACCTGTGTAGGCGTGGGCGTTGATGCCAGTGCGCATGCTCTGGGATTTCGCGAAGTGTCTTTTAATGATTTCGGCCTTGTGTGCAGGATGGGAGGACGGTGCTGGTGGGTGCTGCCAAGTTACGCGTGGCTGCAAGGTCTACAGCCATGTTCCATACAAGTAGCATCGTCACAACAGACACGTGGTCATGGGCTATGCCCACACGGCCGCTGTGGAGGAGCTTTTTGAATGGGGTGCAATATGTGATGCTTGGCTGCAAAGTATACATCTGCGTTCCATACAAGCAGCTTCTCCACGACGGACACGTGGTCATGGGCTATGCTCACGTGGCCATTGTGGATGAGTTGCTTGAATGGGGTGCAAAATGTGGACCTTGTGGCCAAGGCAAGGTAATTTCTAATTACCAAGGTAATTACTTGAACATCTTGCTGGATTGAACTGTTGGCTATGCTATTATTACTCACTAGGATTTTTGGTGTGGACATAAAGGCATGGGCTGTTGCACACTCGCTGTGGCTCCAAAGAGCGTGTAATGGCTTGGATAATGGCAATGGATGCATGGCATGCTGTTTGATACATTCATACCCAAACACCCTATGAGGCCCGGAAGAACCGTGTAGTTGACTAGGAAACTAATGTGCTGGTGGATGTGCAATGGCAGTTTGTGCCGAGTCTTGGCTGGGCCCCCATCGTGGAACCCTCAGAACACGCCAGATCCGTTGGTGAGTCCCCTGGCTGAGAACTGGCATGCTTTGTGTGGAACTGGGTTCAATGGACTCCTTGGCCGAAAACAGCTCTGTTGTTGCAGGTATCTGAACTACGGGCCAGGCAATTAGGCCCTCTGTAGATGCTGTTGTGAAAAGGAGTGAACATTCCAACGTGGTGTTGTGTTAGTTGGTGGACCTAAATCTAGTTAGGCTGGGTCATTGCGCAGATGAGTTTGGATGAATTTGTGGTTGTCCTTCAATTTCCTTTTTGATTCTTTCCTTAACTACAGTTGCAATCTTCACACACACGGGCCATATTGTTTAAACATGAATTGCCCACAATCTGCAGCTTGGTGCGAGCGCCACTGGTGGGTGCAAACATGAGCATTTGTTACATGGCGGGGTGCACATCTGTGGAACCAATGAAAGAGTGTAAGGGCAGCCTATCTATTGCCATCAGGTTGCATGGGTTTGGGGAGACTGCAGCGCATGTTTGTTCATATGTGAAGAATCCAGGAACAATCTTTGAATGGTCGCCATTCCATAAGGAAGAATATCAGGGACATACAAATATGATTGTGAACAGCAGTCGTTGTTGCCTAATGTTCCACAACAGTGTAGCAGTAGCAGTGGGAGTGCTGGTGGTAACAGTGGCGCTACAGTAGTACAGTGGACACTCAGATGGGAGGCACCGGACACGCCAGCCAATCGCAATGATGCCTTCAAAGATTCCAATCGCAGGGCAGCTCTACATCATTGCCAGCCTTGCTGCGGACTACCCAAGGATTCCCAATGCAGACCGGCCCCATAATCACACAATGGGATGAGACACAAGGTTATTTTCTCTTGGGAGAGGGGAGGGTTTCCAGGACTCAAGGGGAGGGGATTCTGTGTGACAATGAACAAATCATGCGAAATGATCAGCAACACTGGTATGGATTCCATGCCCAACATTGCCTTTAAGGTGCAAGAGCAGTGTTTTGTAATGTTTATGTGACAAATGTAATCAAAGGATTTGAGCAGTACAGTGTGTTAGGTGACAGGACAGCGATTATCACATTTTGGGAAATGTTGCCAGCGATGGTTTCATTTGTTGAGTGGGCTGTGCCAATGCATGTGGTAGATTATGCCTTCGCCAGAGCTCAGTCCTGAAGAGAGTGTCGGCGCGCAGCTTGACGCGCTGCAGAAAAACGACGAACCTTGGTGAGGCAGGACTGAATGTCACTATCTGTTCATTGTTTAACCTCGTTACTGATTTTTTTGTCTGATGCACTTGTCAAGTCAAAATGAATATCCACTAAGAATTGATTCCAGACATCAGGCTCAGGAAACTGTTGCACCAAGGCATAAAAGTCTGTGAAAGATTGCAACTCTGTGAAATAGGAGGTGAGCATGATTTTGTGGACATAAAAATTCGAAACGGATTTCAAAGGATTTCAATTGAACGTCCCTTGTTCAAGAGCACATACTTGTGCATCCCAACACTAAATTGATCTGGGCATAATTGCACTGCCTTTCTGATCTGTATGCCCTCAGCAGGTCCAACCATGGAGTGCAAACACTGTACGAGTTTGCAGAGGATGCTGGTGGGATGGAGAGATCGGGTGAGTGATGTCACAGCTGTGGCATATGGGAAACTGGTATGATTGGTACTGCGCAGCAACCCCCTCAATGATGAATTTGACCTGTGGGTGAATACAAAGCCTTGCACCCAACAAATGTTGATTGGTGCACAGGACGATGCAGCAACAAATTGATTGCTGCCAATGGGCCCTGACCTCACCCACTGAGTGAATTGGCAGTGGTATATCATTTGGCAATAATTGCAATCAAATGATCTCTATGTTGCGCAGAACATGTTCAGCCTTAGCCAGAACAGCCACAGTATATCTTTTGGCAATGGCTTGCAGACTCTCCAGTAGATCGTCTGTATGTCCCCAGTACAGGTGTAGAAATGTGGCAATGTTCTGCCCCATATCGCTTATGGCACGATGTTGGTAGGTGGTGTGTGGGTGAAGAGAAACGGAATGGAAAACTATGGGGTGCCTCAGTCCATGCTTTCACTCTGCAAATCTCCTGGTGGGATTGACGAGGTGACAAAGCCCTTGTCAATTGTATTTTGCAAAGCACATTGCAGTAACTTCCAATTGTGGACACCAGCTCAAGAATGCACAACAGGGTGATGTGTTATCGCATGGAGCTCTTTTCAAACTGATGGGCATGCTGTCTTGCACAGGATATTTTGGCTTCTCCAAAGACCTGTACCACTTCGATCATTTCCTAGGTAAGCATAATCTATCTGGTACGCTACCAATTGACTGCATTCACAAAATGAGTGCGGTCGTGCTAGTGGTGTGGTGCTGTGACCTTTGACGTGTAATTGATGCTTGCATGTTTTCTGTGTGTGTGTGTGGGTGTGTGGGGGGGGGGGTGGACGAAACTATACAAAATGGGTGCCATGCATATAACTACACCCCTTCATCACTGGCAGTGAGTTGCAGCATTACAGCTCTCTCGAAGGAGTGATATACACACACACCAAGGTATCACCTTTTCCCCTGCGTCAATGTTTCTGAGGTAGAGACACCTGTGAGTTGAAGCTCGATGGTGTCGACATGTTTGGAGACCTTCTGGCATTGGACAGGGACGGACCACCCCCTGATGTTGACCTGCTGTTCGTTCCGATTAACAGAACGACAATGGATTACATCCAGACATGCGCACAAACTCAATGCCTGCTGAGGTGCAAGCTTGTGTGCTGTCGCACGTTTTTGACAAACTGAAGTGCGTGCGAGCTCACAGTTGACTTTGCGCCCACAGGCGGCTTCTTGAATGCCTACCCCGAACTTGTGAACCTGGCAAGCTACAGCGTGTCTGCTGTGGAGGAGGGGGCCGATGGGACACAGAAGGTGACTGTCAGAGTGGAAGGTGCCGATGGCCAGGACGTTGGAGACAGCTTCGCGTTCACCCTTACCAAAAGGAAGCTGGGCAGAAAAAAAGGATCCTGGATGACCAAATCGCTTCTACGAGAGACCTTGAACTGAGTCATTGGTGGCGAGTTGCACTGGCGCAGCTAGTTAGCTGTGGGCACTAACACTCTTTTCGGAAGATCACATACCTGAAAGGTCTCAAGGGCACCTTGAGTAATGAGAAGAAAGAGGAGGGAGAGCACAATTGGAGATAGTGGGCAGTCTTTCCTGGGGACATCAACGGTATGGTGCAATTGGCAGAGGAATGGTGCTGGCACGATGCAGTTGGAGGCACAGATTTGATGTGGGTAGGTTTTAAGGACGCTGAAAAGTGAAGCAAAAGGTCTGCATCTGTGATTGCGAGCAAAGGACTCGAGGCAATAATGTGTTTTTGCATGAGGAATCCGCATTATGGGCATGTTTGGACAATGGATAAACGAGTGCATCGAGTTGGAATCGGTCATGGTCAGAGCCACGAAGGGGAATGGGAACGTTAGCATTCTGTTCGAGTTACCACAACATGGACTGTAATGAACAGCCATCTTTGCCTTGAGGGTACTCGTTTTGGTGCATTCACAACCATGTCCAATGAAATCACTGAATGGGATGGCCCGAATATGCCACCGTTTCAGTCATAAAAAAGCCATTTTCAGCCGTGCCATAAGGAGTTCGTACACTCCAGAGTGGATACACGAGAGGCGTGGGAAAGTGCTGCAAAATTCGCCATTAAACGAAAATGAGGCTGCATTGACTGAGTCAGACGTTAGTAAGGAGGAGTCGAGTAGTCAGGAGGCCGGAAAGACGATGGGATGCATCCCTCCGCACTGGGATTGCATGTAGAGTACTGCAGTACCCTGGGGACCCATGCAAGAGTAGTCAGCGGGATCCTTGTCTTTCTCGAAGGACGCAACGAGGACGGCGGGCTGAGACGTTTTGCTTGCACGCCCGGCCGCGCGAGCCCCAAAAAAACATGACGAGATGGTCGCAACCCCTGGCCATGTGGCGCTGAGGGCTAGAATGGGAGCTCGTGCAGATGGGTTGCCGTTTGACTGTGTGGCACATTGGAAGGCTGCCCGATGGGCTTCCAGAGTGGAGGGTGGAATGCTCCATTAGGTGGTGTAAGACCACGGCCAACTGCACAATCGTTTTCCCTCCACTGTCCGAGTATGTCGAGCCCCATTTGGTTATCCATGAACGGGACTGGGAGGCGCAAGGGAGTTGTGATGGTAGAGTTGATGCGGAGGTTTATACGGAGCGGACACGATGAAACCGCTAGAGGAGGCGCTCCAGGCAAGGGTCTGCAGAAGGTTGGGGAGAGCCGCAGAGTGCCGGAATGGCACCGTGCCAGGTGGATGGTGTTTAGTGCACCTATCCATGAGTTGTCCATTGTGGCCTGGCTCTCCACACATGGAGCAGTACCCGTTGGGTTCTCGATGGCATAGCAAAAGGAGGCTCAAGTGGAGATCTATTGGGGTCTGAGGTTTTGTGGTCATGGCTCCCTCTTGGCCACATCCAGGTCACCTGGCCCATGTCTTAGGGCCTCTCTGTTGGAAGTGTGTGTTGCTCTCATCTGAATGGCGTGTCTTGGGCTCTCTCTGGCCCGGGGTTGATGGCCGCATTGCTCGTGGTCCTGTCCAAGGTATGCATGTCACACTTGAGGAGGCAGGGGACAAAAACTCTCCAAAACAATTGACTACAACTGGAGCGGCTGCATCGCACTCTTGCATCCGTGGCCCACAATAATTAAAGTCCCTTAATGGTTATTAATCCCCTTGTTATTGGCGGCCAGGGGGCTGCGACCCCAGACCCTTGGCCAATTCTATTTTGTGTCAATCTCGAGAGTATTAAATGTGATGACCACCATTATAAATTGATGTGTTTTGATGACTGATAGGGTGTTTAATTGGAATAGGATCCGGTTAGTAGGCTAGTGTACAGGTAAAGAGAAAATAATAAATAGTTGGGCATGATTGAAAAAAGTGAAGTTGATGTCCATTATGGTGTGTGTGATGTAAAACCGTCATCAAAAGTCATCAAGCGTCTAGGCATGGTGAGCATGTGTCAAACGTTTAGTAAATGAAAGCCACTGAGAATATATTGATGCACAGCACTTCTGAGGCATGCACATGGATGGCTCACTAAAAGGAAGGTGGAATTATGAGGCTAGGGCCGTGTATGCCCGACTTGACACTTCAGCTAGGAGAAGAGCATGGAGAATCTTGCTTGAAAAACATGGGGAAAGATGGTTGTGTAAGGAGATGATGATAATGGCTAAGTTATGTCAAGAATACGAGCTGTGAAGTACGCTAGAATGGGTTTATACTGTATAAGTAAAAAGGTTCGCGCGGGAAAAAAGTTCGCGCATTTCGCGCTCGAGCAACTGCGCGAACTTTTTTCTGCGCGAACATTTTGCCCCCGCGAACTTTTTTCGCCCATGAACTTTTCGGCCTCCTCCCAAATGGGTCGGGCGCTTCCCGCGCTTTGGCCCGTTGGCCTTGCCCAACAACGACTGCCCCGTGAGGCGGTCTTTTGACGAGCGGTGACTGCCCCGAAGGAGTCGTGAGCTGGCCAGCAGATCGCTCGCGCCAGTGGCCATCGGCCAGCCGAAACCTGACGGCGAGGAGGTGCCATTTCCCTGAACAGGCGGCTCTATTCTCCTCCCAGTTTCTAGTCCTGCAAAAGCCTAGATCGCGCCCAGTCCAGTGACTGCCCTGAAGGAGCCCTAAGTTGGCCGGCAGATCGCTCGCGCCAGATCGATCGCTGGTGGCCATTGGCCAGCCGAATCTTGGCGGCGAGGAGTTTTCATCTTCCTGACTAGGCCGCTCGTGCTATTCATCTGCGGCAGCCGGAGGGTCAGGACGGCGGCCGGGGGGCGGCGCAACACAATAAGAAACGGCGCCACCCTTGGCGAAGGTCAAGGGCGGCAGGAGCCCGGTTCCGCAATGTTCGCGCGGCGAAAATTTTCGCGGCGGAAAAATGTTCGCGCACCGACGAGCGCGCGAACTTTTTTCCGCGCGAACTTTTTTTCATGCGAAATACGCGTTATTTTTTCCGTGCGAACTTATTTACTTATACAGTATGCTTGATATGGGCAGTAAGGGAAAAAGGATGGGATGAGACAATTGGTCATAACTCGAGTATGAAAAAAGAGACAAAGGAAGTGCCATGGGTTATAAGGCTGATTGAGCATGAACTATATGCATGACTAAAGCTTTAGTTTGTAAGGCTTAAGGCTGCATAAATTTGACGACAATGAACAGTAAATTCATGCTGCAAGCAACATGCTCCATTGCAGATTGCCCCTTGAGCATGTTACTATGCAGCTGTTAGATTGTTGAAACAACTTCTGTCCCTTTATGGAAGGATAGGTCGATAATTGTGATTGAAAAGGGCATCCGCCAAGGTCCAATAAGACCTGAACGTGCTTCCATACAAGTGGCAGGTCATTATGACTATAAGGAAGAAGAAATGGATAAGCATTAAGAAACATTAATAGGGAAAACACTTGGGAACAAGTTATGGAATTGGGTTGTAGTGATTTCCCATGATGAGCAACTGTATACGGGACCAAAACCAGGAGTGTATGACAGCCAAGGTAAAGGCCCTGACGGAATGTGACGTGTACTTCATTATAATACAGTTTCGGATGACTGGAATAGTTAGACCTGGCGATAACTTGCTGCTAGGATTGGATGCAAATCTGCTGATCCATTGGCGCCCCAAGTATGGACCCAGTTGAATGTCGCGACGTGGAATGTATTGCCAAAAGTGCGCAAATAGTTATTGTCATAAGCTGCCTCCACCCTTCATGTCACACCCTTTTGTGGAGTACATGCCATCCATGTGAACCTAATATTGACACATGCACAGGTGCCAGCTTGTACCTTGGGGTGCGTGCCCATAGGTGCCATATCTCATACCAACGTTCAATGCTGTACGGCAACCTTGGACTCCGAGTTGTTGGGTGCTTCAGAGGCGCACACATGGTGGTGGCAACTTGCGGCGGCGCACTTGAACATGGCTACAAGAACACGGCTACCAAGGCTCTAGGACGATGACAATGGCAGAGTCGAATGGGCGTGGCAGTGTTGCACGCATGGTTGTGATTTGTCACACAATGCATGGACTTTGCATGTCAAGGTGGACCTGCAGTGGCCCCAAGGGATGTTGGAGTCCATGGCATGACAGACGGGCCAGGCATGGTGCTAGATTTGAAGACCTGCCCAGCAATGACAGATGTGATCGAGGTGCTAGCGCCCATGGTGGAGGCATGGGGGAGTAGGTGAGGACAGAATCAGGTGATCGCGGGCAGTAGTTAGCATGATGTGCGCAAGTGAACGGGAGGTTGTGGGACCGAGTCTGAAGGGCGTTGAGGCAATTGTGGATGGTGAATGGTAGCATCAGGAGTCAGACCGTCTAATTCGGACGACGAGGGATGGCATGTTGTTTATATGGTTTCTTGATATGCTTAATGTGAGTGAGTAATAAATATAGGATATCATGCAACAAGACGTGACTTGACATGTTATAAGGGCGGATGACACAAACTGATCGTGTTCATGATGAAGAAGTGATAAGTGGGCCAATGCAACTAAAGGTTGCAATAACCATTTGATTGGATTTGATAGCTATAGTGGCATACCATAAGAACTGATGGTCCGTATTGATAACCCGGTGGGTTATGTGGCACATGTTTGTTGGCTGGTTGATGAGTTTGTAGCTGAAAATGGCCGCTTTAGCATAAATCCAAAATGGCAGTAAAGTGATAGGAGTCAATAAAATTGAATAGAGTCATTGATGGGACATCATATATAGAATGGTTGTGGTAATATGATCCAATTTGAGAGAGCGTGGATCAAGTTGGATTCCAAAGTGACAGGTGAAAATGACATTGGCTGAGAAGTGATAGGTTGACAAGGGACATTTAGAAATTGATTTGGATCATGCATATTGAGGCATAACATGTTAAGGCTGATGGGAAAGGCAAGGGGGATCCAAGGTGATCAGAAGGTGATTATAAAGTTAGATAAAGATATGGAAGTTAAATAAACAGAAAAAAGACTTAACTTAGACTT